TTGTAGAACAATATTATAAATGATACGACTAAAATGCATAACTGTTCACCAGCCATACACATCTGAACACACAAGCAACTTAGATAATATCAAAACTAATCAGTACTTCCAGATTCCACTCTGAACCAGAAGAATAGCCCAGGGAAGCAGGGATTGGGGGAAGGGGACCTTACAGCCCAGACAAAGTCTATAAGCTTAAGGAGGTAAGACAATCTGGAAAAGTGTAGATGTCCAAGAAAGCTATAACATGTGCACTTAATTTCAAATTATTAGCACATGTAATTCCCAATTGGTCAAGTCTGGCAAAAAACATGATAAATGTTTGACGTGAGAAGGATGAACCCTTTGGTCGATTACATAAAGAGGACATACCTCAAGAACTAGCAACTTTAAATGTCAAAAGTGCAATTAAGAGGGCGGCCGTAACATGCAGCCAACAAACTTGGAAGTCAGGTAAGTACTCTTTTACTGCTATCTCTTTCACTAATATTATTCTTGACTCTGATCAAAAGAACCTCCTGACACACATGCAGGTAAAAAGGTGAGGCCATATATATTCAAAAACTAAGAAAGTCAGATGAATACTCATTTAGAGCTTTCTTTTTCACTAATCTTACAAATCTCATAACACACACCAACCCTCAGATTCCAAAAAAAAAAAAACTTAAGACTTGTGTAATTGTCCTCGTTGCAACTTTATGTCTCAGGATGGATTAAATAGGTCATGAAAAGATGTTATAATGCACACACCAGTCACAAGAGAATCAACTGCCAAGCAAAGGTAAGGTAGTAGCTTCAAGATATTTACCTCAAAATTATGACTCTGGATAATTATATTGCTTCATAAACCACAGTAACAATACAAGCTAACCAGTAGCTGGATTCCTGCCTGTTACAACTTTAGTGTCTCATGATGCAATAACCATGTTGTGAAAAGATCTTATAATGCACATGTTAATTACAGGAGAATAAAAATTGCTACCAAAAGGTAAGAAAGAAATTTCGGGAATAACAAGTGATTCTTTACCTTAAAATTACGTGGATAATTATATTGCTTGATAGATGCTTCATTTTAACCACAAATTACCATCTGTTTTTTATGTCAATTTCCTAGAGATAACTCTTTAAAAGGAACTTAAATCGTACAACTAAGATGTTTTCCAGATTCATGCCAAAAGATTAATGATTAAACATAATCTTTAAATTCATCAAATAGATTTGTTAAAGAAGACCAAGAAACAATGAAAACCACTACTAAGGGACATTAAATAGAGTCTTCTGAAGCTAAATGAAAGAAGCAAGGAATACAAATAATTCTAGACCACTCTCAGGAATACTTAGACGCAGAAATGCACAAGCACATTTCCAGCAAACAAACTGTTCATAGTTACAAATGAGGTTATTTACTAGAATGCAGTTGAGTTTAGGAGATGTGTGTCCTGGCTGAATAATTTGTGTAGTTGACTAATCTAGCAAGGTAGAAGCTTTCGTCACACATCAAAGGTTCTAGTTAGCTAGACTTGCACAACCCACGTAGGTTTTAAACTTAAAAGCTATAACTTAAAAAAAACAAGAGCCAGTGAGCGTATATTAATACTAAAAATATAGACAAGCATGGATAAAGAAATTAGTCCAAAAAAGTAGGAAACTAGCACATAATGGAATTATGAGGAGGTTGCAACTTGTTTACAAACAACCAACTGCCAGGGGTTATAATCTAAGGAAATAGGGAATATAAGTTAAACATGGGTATATTGATACAGAGGAAACAAGATAACATAAGAAATTATTAATTGAGGAAGGGATGTGGGATGAAATTGTACATTTTAAAGAAAGCAGCTGATAAAATTATTGCGATAAAATTTGTTTTAGAAGAGGAGTATATTAGAATCATTGGTAATTACGAGAGCATGATTTGAGCACAACAGTGCTCTAATCCATTCAAAAAAATCAGCAATCACAACACATGGAAAAAATACAAACTCTCTTCCATTCCATCAATGAATAACAATCCTGAAGCAAGGTCAACATGGATGTCTGTGTTATCCCACCTTTCACTACTTGCAAAATAAGAGCTCCTCCAAGGGAGTTCAATTTCCAATTTCCAATGTCATAATGCCCCATGGA